TTCCAGAAGGAAACTCAACAACACTCTCCAAAATTTACAGAATTTCAAAAACATAATTCTTTCGGGTAATAAATCATGGCTCTCTATCACCTGCAGGATTGAACCTGCTGTGGGTGCTGGGAGACATGAAACAAAGATGAATGAGATCCATGTCCCCCTAGTGTGTACAGTCCGGCAGTGGAGATAGGAAATTTAGATGGATAACAACAACATAAAAGTAGAAAGTGATAAATAACCACAAGACTGGCTGAAATAAATGCAGTGGTGGAAGAGGGCAGGTTGTGGAGGAAGAACAGGTACCTGGAAGTAAAAACTAAAGCTACAAGAAAGAGACAGGAAGAGAAAAGGGTACGGTATGGGAGAAGGAAAAAAAAGAGGAGGGAAGGAGAGGAGAAAAAGAGGAAGAATGGGAAAGAGACCTGGGAAAATTTAAACGGAGTGGAAGTAGAAGGAGAGCAGGGAGAACCTTCAGGATGAGGATGAGTGAGAGACTGGCAATTTGAAATGTGGGAACACATGGAAGCTGCCTGGAAAGGCTGGGAACCAGCTCAAATGTGTTAATGCCCAAGATGCTCACTCTCCTTCCTACCAGGAATCACGGGGGAGAATTTGGCAAATGAAAGTCCATTGGCCCCTTGGAAAGAGAAGAGAGGAATGGAGAAAAATCCCAATGCTGGACCTGGGAAATTATATAACATTAGTGATGAAATTTCACGAAGGAAACAGACACCATATATATGGTTTTCTTTCAAGTCTCCTGTATCTTGGTAAACAGTTTTAAAATAAGAAAATGGAGACAGTAGAACAAAGGATACATTAAATATATATACATTAAATATATATGTGTACATTAAATATGTGTGTGATATACATATACACACACAATATATATATTGTGTGTGAGGGGTCTTGTTGTGTTGCCCTGGCATGTTCTGGAGATAAGAATTAACATAACAAATTCCCTGCTCTGAAGCCTAATAAGGAAGACAGACAAATTAACAAGTATTTGAAACTTGCAGCAGCATGTTACCTTGGGATCACAGAGGAGAAAACCACTATCAGTCAGTGGACTTCAGGGAAGTAGTAAATGGCATTGAGGTGAATAAAGGGACTATGGGCTTCAAGGAGATAACATGAGAATTGTGGTGGATCAATTAGCCCAATTTCATAATCATGTTAAGTGTTGCTGGAAGCTGGATAGCAGAAGCACTAAAGGCAAATGGTATTTTTTCCTGGGGTCAGGATTTGACAAAGCCAATCAGAAAGAGGGGCACAATAACCAAAAACTTGAGCTTTTGTAGTTGAAATGGCTGTTCATGGGATCAGATAATCAGGTCTGAAAAGAAGTGAGAGTACAGGATAGAAGGGAACACAGCCCAAGAGAGGGTGAGAAAACCTATGACTCACCAGGATGATAGTTTTGTCCCTCTCAAGTTCCCAGGAAATCTGCTGATACACAGAGGGGAGCTTAGCTTGGAGGACTCTGAGCTGGAGTCCAAATGCTATGAGCCCAAGGCTAATCCTTTGGGCAAAGGTAGCTGACTGCAATTATGGAGCCTCTTGTGTGGAACTTTATCTGGAGAAAATAGGGCTATGGTAGATGAGCTTGAACAGAAATAAGCAATTCATGTGCTTAAAAAAAAATCTAAATTCAGCATGGAAGCATTATGGAATCTGTTCCCAGCTCAGCCCAATGGATGCAGTTCCTTGTGAAAAAAACGACGTAGACAAAACAGGTATCTCTGTAAAACCCAGGAGCTGCTTGGGGACTTCTCTAATGCTTGTAAAACAGAGAAGATGATCCTTTCATCCTCCCTATCTGTCTGAACTTACACATCAGAAAACCTTAGTTTTCTGGTAATAAGGCTTAGCAAAGAGCAGGACACCAAGTGGAGCTGAGGTACTCCTAGTGGGAGAAGGTTTATTCATGAACAAATGCCCAGTGGCCCAAAGATACAGCCCAGAGGGAGCTTGGAGTGGGGCTGCTCAGTCAATGGCAGAGACAGGTCAATAGAGGATGGTTCTCACTCTCTACTGTACAGGCAGAAGAGCTTAAGCTTTTAGGCTCTGGAATGACATAGTTTAGTTCTGTAACTTACTAGCTGTGTGAATTTGGTCAACATATTTTAACTCTTTGAGCATGTTCCTGAGGTCCACTGCTTCCTCTAGTGGATGAAGTAAACAAGACACTTCATGCTGTCCTTTAACCCAGTCAGGCTTCAGAGAAGGAATTCCCTCTCTCTGATGGTGCCTCCTCATCCCTTGTCTCCTTTTTTTCCACCCTGGAGAAGGCATCCCTGAGCCCTGTCGGACTCTAGGTTGCTAACCAAATTCTAACTACATCTTACTTGGTTTGAGCATCTACTTCTCAAAGAATACAATCCTAAAGAGTCTGGGGACAAATCCTGAAGAACTTAACCCAAGCAGTCATCATAAGCCCCTCTATTCCCAGCATTTAGGGGTGGGGGTGTGATTCAGTTTTGACTTATGTCAGGTGAGAAGTCTCAAGCTCCTGAGACAGATTTCCCCATTCTTGTAAAGAGACACTCTCTGTTACCTTCAGGCACTGTTCAGTTGCTCCAGCCATTCTGAGATCGTGGGTGGGTGGCTCTGGACAGGGACAAAGCTGGCAGGCTGGCTATCACAGGAAGAATAACGGAAACAGCCTGAGGCACTCCCTGACATTGCTGAATTGCTGAATTCACCAGGGAGAGCCTCCTGACCTTGGGCCTTCTTGGTCACATGAAACAATAAATTTCTTTATCATTGATGACATTTTAAATTGGGTTAATTATTAATGGCAGCCTCCCACACTTAAATTATGACCCCAGATTTTTTTTCTCACATATTTTCCTTCATAGTGTTTATCACATGTATGTTTACTTTTATGTTGATTTGTTTAATGTCTGCTTCTCCACAAGATAGCAGATTCTAAATTAACAGAGGTGACAGTTAATTTTGTTACTATTGAATCCCCACTGGGCCTGAGACAGAGGAGTGGTTAAAAGCATGTTATTGGAAAAATTAATAAAAGACTAAAAAATGATTACTAGCCTTCCTCCTCCTTTTGGGGTGATATGGTTGAGAGGACAATACAGAATTGCTGGGAGAAATGTGAATTCCCATACTCTGAGGGGTATGAACATAGGTGGCAGTCTGTACCCCATGAATGGCTTTCGAGTTTTCTCTCAATTAACAATAAGAAGTACATACTACATGTTATCCCAGGGCATGTATGTGTGTGTGTGTGTGTGTGTGTGTGTATGTGTGTGTGTGTATATTTTTTTTAACTAAACTGAAAGACTTATAAAACATTTTTGCTCTTCTTATGTGTGACATACTCAGTTATTTTATTGTACTTTTTCTAAAAAAAAAAGATGCTAGCTTTGACTCAATATATCAAGTTTATGACTCATTAATTAGCAACCCACATTTCAAAAACAACCTGGATTAAATGAAATATAAGAGCTTCAAAAATCCCCCCCCCTGTTTGTCATTAAATTGTTCACAAAACTTCAGTCCATCGATTTACATGTCCTTTATTAGAAGGACATAGCAAAGACTTAATTATTTCCCCCTTTCTTGTGGAATTCTCTTTCACCCCGTCTGTCTCCTCAGGTTGGGTATGAATGTACAGATTCTGGCTTAAGTCCAGGAAAAAGTAGTTTGTGTTTTTTTTGCTTATTTTTCTCTAGTTTGCACAAAACAGAACTACATTCTTCTTCCTCTAAACTTAATGGCCCCATTCAACAAATTTCCCCAGGCCTCATTTCTATATACGTTTATGTATGCAATAGTGCATGCTGGTGTTACATGAGCCCCACTGCCACCGTGTGGTTTTAAACCCAAGGGAGTCGGGTTCTAACACTCTGGATGCACACGGAGAATAGACCCTCACTGTACTTCCCGTTCCTCAACATAGAAACGGCCCTTGTCCTCCGTAGATCTGCCAGTAGAATTCCTCTGGGCGCAGGAGGAAAAGGGGAAAAACCACAAGGAGATCGCACAACTCCAGTCACGGCAAATAGTGCGGTGGGTGTATGTATATATTTAGAAAACCACAATGCACGCCTCAGGAAAAAACACGTACTCAAAAGGCGACAGCAGAGTATTAAATTAACTGCTTGAGTGATCAAGAAAGCTCCCTGTTAGAGACCTGCAGATGCAATTCCGGAGATACAATCTCTGTCCCTTGAAACTCGGTTCAACCATTGCCCCTAGCGTCACGTGAACTGGCAAACTAACGCAAGTTATGGCTCCAGAGTTTGGGAAAAGCGCGTCGCCAATCTACTCTGGGGTCACACGTCGCCTAGAAGGGCACTGGTGTGACCTAAGAGAACAGGTCCAAGATTCGTGAGCCAGTTTGCGCTCTGGGAGGGAAGGCATGATAGGGGGAGCCTGCAGAAACAGACTGGAGGGATGGAGGATAGGGAGGGAAGAAGAGATGAACCCCTCCTCCCCGAACTTTCCTCTCCCCTCGTCCCACACACTTGAAATAGAAATAATAATAACAGAAATATGCTACAACCACGATGTTATCGCCCTACTTAAGTTGCCTGGCTGGATGCTACGGGGTTTAAAGTGCGGACTGCGGTGGTTTCCACTGGCTTGTCTACCGAGTAAAGGTTCGGGCTGGTGCGGGCGCGCGCGCCGATGACCCCACCTTTGGGGAAGCGGGCTCCCTGCGGCTTGGCGCA